CTACATCACCTTTCTTCCTGTAAAATTTGGCAGCGTACCTTAACACGTAAGGAATGTCAGGATATTTTCTAAGCGCTTCCTCAATGTACTTTTCTCCTTCCTTCACTCTGTTTGTTTCTTGCAGTTTTAATGCAAGAAGGGGAATCACAAGTATATCGTTGGGATTTAGTTTTACTGCAATCCTCAGAGGTTCCAGTGATGACCCTTTCCCTGAATGTTTTTTTGCATAATAATCTTCCAGGCGGTATACTGTGATTGCATAGCCCAAGTTAAATTCTGGGTTTTCTGGATCTTTTTGCCGTGCCTTTTCAAAGTTCTCCTTGGCCTTTTCATAGTACTTTCCTCCAAATTTTAGGAGCGCCCAACCCTTTTCACAGTAGATCTGTGGGAGCTCCATCTTATAAGGAGACTCGCTTCCAGGTTGCTTGCAGACGCTCTCTATTTTTTTCACGTAGGCTTGGGATTCAGTAAGATTGTCCATGTGGTAGTTCACCCAGGCGTAGTTGCCCCACGTAACCAGGCTTTCCTTTTCCACTTCTCCAGGGTACTCTACGGGCACAGCCTCTTCCGCTTTCTGTAAGTATTCCAGTGCTTCGTCCTTCTTGTCATTCAGGAATTTCACGTAGGCGAGCAGGTTGTAATTTTGAACTTTGGATTTGCTGCTTAAGAACTGGATCTGCTCAACAATTCTTTCCTCCAATTCATCGGGATCAATATCCTCCTTCTGCAACATCCATGTAAAGTGGCATTCCAATTGTTGAAGAACCTCCTTTAAACCTTCCTGGGAGAGGAGACTGCAGAACAAAAGGAAAAAGAGTAAGAGACATTTACGTTTTGAAAGGAAAAAATGATTCTGCCCTATAATCCCCTGTCATGGGAGATGTTTAAAAAAACTGAACTTTGGCATTTTTGTACTTTTTAAATATGATTTTACTTAGAGATAGGAATTAGCAGTAATGGGGCCAATGACGCAGTGGAACGAAGATTTGGCGAGTAGACCAACTCTTTGTAATTCCTCTCCGTAGAAGAGGAGATCACCCACAAATGCTCCAGACAGCTGCTCCTCACGTAAAGACAGCAAGAGAGTGGTCCCCGGCAGGTTTAGAACTCTGGGAGACGAAGGAATAGTCATCTTGCTCAAACTGTGGTCAGTGGTTTTAAGAGAACACTGGGTTCACGTGCTTCCTTTTCTAATCACTTTTGGAAACTGCTTGTTAACTGCTTTTTAGCTATTAGGAACCTTTGGACTGACAAGTCTGAAACCACCAGGTGAGTTTCTTTCAATCCTTAGCGAAATAAGTTATAAATATAAGTTTAAGGACTTTAAAAACATTCTTTTTTGAATAAACAGCAAAAGAATGATTAGAACTTTGATTTTGGAAAATTACAAATCAACTAAGGGTCGATTAAGTCCAGATGGATTTGAAATAAGATTTTGGAATTCATTATAAGAAATCTTTCCTGTGGAAAAGTGCTTTTGTTTTTAATTCTTAAAAAAAAAAAAAAAGATAGGATGGACACTAGAGGGAACCAGAAGGAACTAAAGATTACAATTAAAGGAGAAGAATACTTAAA